ACTTCAAAATCGTGTGATTTTCATAGCGACTTTACAGTGCGACTTGAAGTGACTGACGTGACTTTGGCTTTGTTTGACCAAGAATAACACAAAGTTGCATGTATATCATTCAGGTGCAACTTTGGAGAGTTTACATTGAAGTCGATGGCCCTCAAGTCGCATGAAAGTCAGACCAAAATAGTGCAGGAACTAGTTTGAAATTGCACACATATAAATGGTACCCATTGGGAAACATGGGGTGCCACTTGTCATGTGACTTTGGAGCCCAAGTCGCTTGACAAGTCGCACAAGTGTGAATGGGCTCAAAGTCACACACAACAAAAAACAAAAAGCAAACAAACAAAATAGTTTTCAGTGTGCCATGTTCCCGCCACAACAGTGTTCCTCTGTGTTCCAGAGCTGTGCGATACTGTGCAACATGTGTGCATAATATCATACCTCTCTGGATGGTTCTGCATGTCACCGTACAGCAAGCAAAGTACACCACATGGCTGTGCAATGACTTGAATGAAGTGTCACTTAGTGCACTTCACAAAGATGCTACATGAAACTGCAGCCCAAAACAACTGCTGCCCACACACTAAGGCTAGGTTCACATCTGTGCGGGTGGTGCCACTGCGGATCCGCACGAAAATCCATGCAGCCGCACCACCCACACAGAGAAATGCGGACCCGTGGATGGGTGCCATTTGTTCTAATGGCATGCCGCCCGCACTGGAAAACGCAACAGTACTGGGAACCGAGGTTCCTGTGTGGGCTGCGTTTTCAGAAGAAATGCGGGGACTTGTTCCCTGCATGTCACGGCACGGGAGTCCATTCAAATGAATGGGCTCTCGTTCCCGTGCAAAACACAGCCCACACGGCCGCATATATGTGAACCAGGGCTTAATAACTGTAGTTTAGTGTGAACAGGCCCTTAGATGACCAAAAAAATCCAATAGAAGCATAACTAAACCCTCCTAAACTTTTCAGCTAAGCAAGCTGCCTTCCTAGCCTCTGATCTGCAACTGCCATGGTGCTGTACATGTGATCAGTTATAACACCAGCCATTTGTTGGTTTGACAGTTTAGTTGAGAGCACAAGCAAATGTGACAGTTCGCATTCTTGGCATGCCGGGAAAGCAACAGTTTTTTGAAATCGTTAAATCTTTGTGTGCATTGCCGCTTTAAAAGCCAAACTCCAGCTAACACCTTTCAAGTAGTTACAGCAACATTTATTTTTTCTTTTGGGATAAAAGATTTTAGATAAACTAAATAGTTTGTTTCAACCCCCTAACTGCCACTTTTGCTGAACACCCTGGTCTGTTAAAGGAAGTTGAAAACTAAAAAGACTTACTGGCTGGATCACCAGGTGAAAATAAACATAAAAGTCTAAAAAAAGAAAAAATGAATGCAGTCACCACATCTAAGAACTGGTAAGCTGTAATATTTTGTATTCTTGGGTTTGATACCACCTTAAACTGTAACCAAAAGGCAAAACTCCTTTTTTAGTTCTGGATAGAGTGGAGATGGATTAGAACAGGGCTTGAAATTTCCACTCACCTGCTCACCAATGGCGAGTGGAAATTATGGTGGGGGCGAGTCTTTCCCCCAGGACCGTCTTGCTGAGCAGGCTCGGAGCTCAGGCCGGATCATTCATTGGCACTGGGAACCGTCAGACTGCTCAATAGCTGAGCGCAGTGAAAGCAAAGGAAGGAGTGTGTGCTGTGCTCTGTGCCTCTCCCTAGAGTGCAGTACCCGGCTCTGTGAGTGAACAACGAAGTACTGCAACTTTTTATGGGGGGGGGGGGGGTGGTGTGTGTGTGTGTGTGTGTGTGTGTCTGTCTGTGTATGCATGTACAATTGTACATGTGTCTGCACATGTATCTGTGTGCGCGCACATGTCTCTGTGTGTGAGTGCACATGTGTGTGTGTGCGTACGTGTGTGTGTGTGCATGTACATGTGTCTATGTGTGTCTGTACATGCCTGTGTGTGTATACATGTGTCTGTGTGTGTGTACATGTCTCTGTGCGTCTGTGTACATGTTTCTGTGGGTATGTGTATATACAGGTGTCTCTGTGTGTGTTTGTTGGTGGCGAGTAACTCTAAGGCCTGGCTAGTAGCTCAGGATTTGAAATTTTAAGCCCTGGATTAGAACACCTGTCAGGTTTTTTATTGCTGTCTGTGCCTCCATGGGGGTGATTAACCCTATTTGTCCTGTTAGTGAAAGCAAAAGAAAAAAAAAACAAAAAACAAAAAAACAGGTTTTGGAGTAGACATCAGAAAAGGAAGAGGGTTAATCTTTCAATGGTGACACTAGTTCTGGTGACCTGGGGGGCCCCAAGAGATGGCCTGTATTTGCAGGGATTTCCTCTCACTTCCTGTTTTGGCTGTGGGACAGGAAGGGAAGAGAAATCTCCCCAATTGGACACAAGATGGAGAAAAAAACCCAGAAAAAAACAAAACGGGGATTATAACCCACCTATACTCTATCCAAAAAAGGAAAAATGTTTTGCCTGTAGTTACAATTGAGTCTAAGGGTAGAAGTAAAAGCTGTATTACGTCCCTTATTCCTGTCTCCAGCAGGCTTCAGGCACTACTCTCTGCTTTCTGATATGTACAGCTATGTGATGGAGCCCTCAGGTGTGCATGTACAGCTTTATGCACATAGCACTACAACACGTTAGTGCATGCACAGCTGCTGAAAAACATTTGCTTTACTAAAGGCAGATGGGAATCCTGGCCATACACAGCATGGATGAAAACAATGACTGTTTTCTAGTATTCTAGTAGAGGGGTCAACAACTTTTCCAAATCAAGTGGCAGTTCAAACATTAGATGTGCCAATGAGCAAAAGATACAAACATATGGTGTAGCGCTCTTTAGCACAAACCGTGATAAAAAGCCTCCAACAGAGAATTATAATGTGCCAAATGGTGAAATCAACAGTGTAGTAAATCCTAAACACAAACATTGATGACGACAACACAATATTAAAATATATAGTGTATATATAGTGAAAACACTTCTGTGCCCCCAATGCTGGGAGATATAACCTACCCAAAAAGTGACAAAATAGTGCTCCGTGTTCAAACACTCATATCAAAATAATGATGAACAATCAAAACATAGTGAATATAAATCCTCCAAAAATAAATGAATATATATAAGTGACACCAGTGTCCACAATAGGTAAAAACATGCAGGTGATTCTTGTGTGTTGTGGCTTCTTGTGATGACTCCACACACGGCTAGATTGGCTCCTCACCTCCTTACTGCGACCCTAAAAGGGCCTACAGGCCTTTTGGATCACTCCTGGATCCTCCTAGATCAAAAAACGTATCCTCCAGAGAATTTTACACCAGCAGACACAGCATATATCTTCCAGACCAGCTCGATTCCCTTTTCTTAAATGGCTCTAATCAGTATGACCAGCTCTGTCAGCTCTCCATGTTTACATCACATGACTTCCTGCTCGCTCGGCGATCACATGGATCCTGTAAAAGAGCGCTACACCATATGTTTGTATTTTTGGCTTTTCACTTTAGGTAATAAGGTGCAGGTGTCAGCAGCTGATATAGGGTTATCAGGCCTGAGCGCAGGAGGTTTTCCCATACCAATGAGCAAAAGCATGCTGTAGAGGTCATCATTATCTGACCTCGGCACTCCGCCCCAAGTCCCAGCGCCGTCAGGTCTCAGCCCCAAGTCCCAGCGCCGTCAGACCTTAGCTCAGCCCCAAGTCCCAGCGCCGTCAGACCTTAGCTCAGCCCCAAGTCCCAGCGCCGTCAGACCTTAGCTCAGCCCCAAGTCCCAGCGCCGTCAGACCTTAGCTCAGCCCCAAGTCCCAGCGCCGTCAGACCTTAGCTCAGCCCCAATTCCAGCGCCGTCAGACCTTAGCTCAGCCCAATTCCAGCCAAGTCCCCGTCAGACCTTAGCTCAGCCCCAATTCCAGCACCGTCAGACCTTAGCTCAGCCCCAATTCCAGCACCGTCAGACCTTAGCTCAGCCCCAATTCCAGCACCGTCAGACCTTAGCTCAGCCCCAATTCCAACATTGTCAACCCTCAGCTCAGCTCAGCCCCAATTCCAGCACTATCAGACCTCAGCGCCTCAGCTCAGCCCCAATTCCAGCATTGTCAACCCTCAGCTCAGCCCCAATTCCAGCATTGTCAACCCTCAGCTCAGCCCCAATTCCAGCATTGTCAACCCTCAGCTCAGCCCCAATTCCAGCATTGTCAACCCTCAGGTCAGCCCCAATTCCAGCATTGTCAACCCTCAGCTCAGCCCCAATTCCAGCATTGTCAACCCTCAGCTCAGCCCCAATTCCAGCATTGTCAACCCTCAGCTCAGCCCCAATTCCAGGTCACTATCAGACCTCAGCTCAGCCCCAATTCCAGCATTGTCAACCCTCAGCTCAGCCCCAATTCCAGCAACCACTGGGAGAAGGGCCATCACCTGAAGATCAGTAGGGTTGGATAGGTGGGCAAGCTGTAGGTGCAGATCGGTGGGCCAGGCTTTGTAAGTGGCAGCCTAATTAGCTATTCATTTGTGCCAGTGGCCATGAGGCTCCTGGGGGCCAATGAACATACATTTAGCACCAGCCTGGTCAGCCATGTTCTAGTAGAATCTCAGAACTACGGATGGTTTGCTGACTGATTTCATAGGTATATGCTAAACATGAAAGGGATCCTATAGGCTGAGCCATTCCTATGAAGAGAAGCAATCCCTGCAGCCTGTGTTTACATTTCCCCATGACCTCTGACAGTGATCAGACTCAGGCAGGGATGTACATTGTATGGCAGTGATGGGAACACAGATGACAGATGGAAATGACTGGATCACTCAGAATCTGCACGGCAGCCAATCAGCTGCTACCTTCAGCTTGTTCCATTAAGTTTTGACAAGAAGACCTGGCAGCTGATTGGTTCCCCTGCAGAGCTGCACCAGTGTTAGTAAATAGCCCCACTGATCTCCAAGTAAGCGGCCGGGAAGTCCCCATCCAGGGCCAGTGCAGGCACCCACCTTACACGGGAAGAGGACAGCGGAGGCCACCTTCTCCATGGCCAGGTTCCGGATGCTGGGGGTGAGGGAAGCCCGGCACGAGGGGCAGCAGCTCAGCTTCTGGCGGCATTGGTTGCAGACCAGGTGTCCGGCCTGGCACTGCAGGATGGGGGGCAGCACATAGTCGAAGCAGACGGGACACTCGAACAGAGACGTCAGCTCGCTGTGCTGCTGCTGGGACACCGGCCCGGAGATCGCCGCCGCCGCTGCCGATGGAGGGGGCGCGGCGGGGCCGGAGGCGGCGGGGATCGTGCTGGGGATCGCAGGGGACGGGGTGTGCGGCGGTGGGGGAGGCGGCGGCGGCTTCTGTTTCCCGCCCGGTTTGTTTAGCACAGGGTCCAGCGGAGGACGGGCGGCTCATCGCGACCGGAGAGAACCATGGAAGTCCGAAGGGGGTGATGAGAAAACTTCCGGCCGGAGGAGGACGCAGGACTGACGGCGGATCCCCGGAACACTCTACGACCCCGCCCCCCCAGTAGCGCTGTCAGCGCCGGACATTAGCTCTGCCTACCTTCTGGAACATTGTTACACGTCATCGGCTCTGACATCACGTCCGCCATGTGTGGAGCGGACGAATTGATAGGGGTGGGCGTGTATGTGTCGTGCCATGTGACCCCTAGAGCCGTGAGAAAGCTCAGGCAATGGAGCTGAGGAGTAGGCGTGTCTGTCATGTGACTGCTCGACTCGCAAAGCCTTGCTGGGCTGAGGGAAAAGCGGGGCGGAGCTCAGCGGGTTATATATAAAGAAGGAGGTGTAGTCACCTGGAGTGAGGCGTGAAGGTCAGGTGGTAGTGATTAGTTTAGAGGTCCATTCACACTTGTGCTACTTGTCATGTGACTTTGAGAACTTAGGGTGCATGGCAAGTTGTACCTCAATGACCACGGTTCAAATATGTACAACTTAAAGCTGTAGTGACTTTAAAATAGTTCATGCACTACTTTAATACGACTTTCATGCGGCTTGAGTGCAATGTTAATGCTCAAAAGTCGTAGGAAAGTTGCACCTGAGTGTTATACATGCAAACAGTGTCCATTATTAATGAAAGTCAATGTTGTCGTGTCCATGTTGCACACTTTTAAAGTTGCACTCTGTTGGTTCTATTGACCCTTAGACCCCTGGTCTAAGTTCTCTGTCACTCGTTCTGTCTCCTCAGGCCTGGAGAAGCATTGGTTACAAGTAATCACACATGAGACCGTCTTGTAAGTAACCAAAAACTTCTAATTTATTCCACAACGAAAGCTCTCTTATATAGTACAATATAACGTGCAAGTGAGAATACAAGCATTTACGTCAATCCTGAATAATGATGAGAAGCAAAATTTAAGGAATGTCTATAATATTACATAAAAACTTATCTGCTACATACAATAGAATCTCGCTAGATACTTTTCAAGGCTGTGAACATGATCTTTCTCAGGCATTTATAATTAGTTATAAGTAACAAACAATTATTTTCTCATGGAACAGAAATATTTGACATTTAATTGTATCATAACAGAAACAGGTGCTTGTTAATACAAAGAAATAATTGGATACTTTTACCGTCTCTACCAAGGCTAAGCTAAGATAAAAGATAGAAGAATTTTGTGAGTATAGTTCTGTAATACATAACTGACATAGCATATTTTCATTAACTCATTCTGGTTATAATACAAAACAATTAATCAACATGGAATATAAAATTGAGTGGGATAAATAAAATGACAGACCTAAAAGACATACATTTCCCTTCACACTCCAAAGTCGTATAAGTGAACCTAAGACCCGATTCACACTGGTGCGACTTGTCACATGACTTTGGACATTAACCTCTTGACGCCTGCCGCACACAAATGTGCGGCCTCCCGGCATCTGGGCCTAGACGCAGAGCAGCCGCACATTTGCTTTCTATTAAAAGAGGACATATGTGCCGAGAGCGTGCGCCCTACGAGCTCCCAGCACACGTCAGGTACTCACGGAAAGGTCCCTGTCACGGAGTGCCCGTGCCTTCCCCACCCGCCTTTGCCTACCATTTCTCAACCATATCCCTCCACCCTTCCCTCCCCCTTGCACATTCCTCTTTCCTTGTAGCTTCCATGAACGGTGCTGGGCCGGCCGTTGCCGAGGTAACTCAGCAGCGTCCCGCACGGCTTTTAAAAAGACTGGCACAGGAAGCAGCCCTCCGTTTTGTTCCAGTGCACGCTGCTGGAATCATCTATCTCCCTGAAAGCTGCTGGGAGGCTCGGGTGGGGGGGGGGGGGGGACAAAGCCACTGCAGCCATCCCCGCTGCGCACTCTGCAGACCCCCAAAAGGTCAGGACTGTAGCCCTCTGCAATACCCAAGGGTTGGGAGTACCCGCTGCCCTCCACTGAATGTCCCAGGGTGGGAGTCTCCGCAGCTCTGCATGAGCCCCCTCCTCAAAGGTCAGAAGCCACAGTTGAAACCCTACCTGAGACCCTCCAGCTGAGGGGACACTGCCTGCCAGCTACCTGAGACCCCCAAGCTAAGGAGAGACCGCCTGACCCTACCTGAGACCCTCCAGCTGAGAGGAAACTGCCTGCCAGCTACCTTCGACCCCCCAAGCTAAGGGGAGACCGCCTGACCCTACCTGAGATCCTCCAGCTGAGGGGTGAGTTGCCGCCTGTTGCCCGAGACTTCTGTCCGGGGTAGGTTGCTGCCTGTTGCCCGAGACCCCTGTCCAGGGGTAGGTTGCTCGCCTGTTGCCCGAGACCCCTGTCCAGGGGTAGGTTGCCGCCTGTTGCCCGAGACCCCTGTCCAGGGGTAGGTTGCTGCCTGTTGCCCGAGACCCCAGTACAGGGGTAAGTTGCCCGCCTGTTGCCCGAGACCCCTGTCCAGGGGTAGGTTGCCCGCCTGTTGCTCGAGACCCCAGCCCAGGGGTAGATTGCCGCCTATTGCTTGAGACCCCTGCCCAGGGGTAGATTGCCACCTGTTGCCCGAGACCCCTGTCCAGGGGTAGGTTGCCGCCTGTTGCCCGAGACCCCTGTCCAGGGGTAGGTTGCTGTCTGTTGCCCGAGACCCCAGTCCAGGGGTAGGTTGCCACATGTTGCCCGAGACCCCTGTCCAGGGGTAGGTTGCCCGCCTGTTGCCCGAAGCCCCGGTCCGCTGTGCAGTCACGGAGGGAGCCCAGCTGAGGCAGGACCCTTGTGACGAACGCCTGCCTGTTGCTCGAGACCCCAGTCCAGGGGTAGGTTGCCGCCTGTTGCCCGAGACCCCTGTCCAGGGGTAGGTTGCCCGCCTGTTGCCCGAGACCCCTGTCCAGGGGTAGGTTGATGCCTGTTGCCCGAGACCCCAGTCCAGGGGTAGGTTTCCTACCTGTTGCCTGAAGCCCCAGGTCCGCTGTGCAGTCACTGAGGGAGCCCATCTGAGGCAGGACCCTCGTGACCAGGCTCTGCCTGGGACCCCCAAGCCTAGGGGGGAGATTGCCTGCCTGTTGCTCGAGACCCCAGTCCAGGGGTAGATCGCCTGCTGCCCGAGACCCCAGTCCAAAGTGGGAGAAGACCACACAAGCCAGTCTGCCCGAGACCCCTCACCTGTGTCCCTGGGGGGACCTCCAACATGCTTTCCCCTGGTATCTGTGTCCCCTTACTGACCCTTCTTATCCCTGCCCTTGGGGACCAGACACCCTGTTGGATCCGTGGGCACATGCTTTCCCCATTTTTTACATTTTGGACTGCTTCTTTGGGTCGATCCCCCGTTTTCACACCCGAATCGGGACTTTTTCTGTGATGACCCTTGCCCCTTGTGGGATTACCATCCGCCACAGAAGGGGACTCTAGTTGCTTTGACTAGAGAGTTGGAGCTGCTTGCAGTAACAAACCCAATATATAAATGCAGGCGTACCTCTGTTTACAAATGCCTCGGTTAACGTAATTTTTGGTTTACTAATGAAAATCCATTGAAAAAATGCCTCGGTTTAAATTTTTTTTCGCAAGTTAATTTAAACGAAGTGTGTGTCGGTGCCGATTTTTAAATGCAATTGCAGCTTTTTTTTTCTTCACTATAGCTCACAGAATTGGCTATCATTTCCCCAGAGCTAAAGGATACTTTGTTTCTTTTATATCGGGAAACAAACTAAAAGGAAACATTGTTTCTTTTAACTCCGGGAAATAGACTAAAAGGAAACTTTCTTTCTTTTAACTGGTGGGAAAGTGACAGCTGATTCTCTGAGCTCTAGTGAAGAAAAAAAAGCCAGTAATTACATTAAAAAATCTGCACTGTCCTATAGTGACAGTGACTTTTTAAAAACTTTTTTTCTGACCTCCGGAACGGATTCATTGGTTTTCAATGTATTCCTATGGGAAACAGCATTTTGGTTTACAAATGTTTTGCAATGCGAAACGTCCCGGAGAACGCATTAAGTTTGTAAACCGAGGTACAAGTACAAACATATAAAGTACACAAAATAATTGCCCTTAAAAGATTATTATCTGTGTGATCTGCCACAAAACTAGAACAAATTTAAACATATAAAAAATAAAATAAATAGTACAAATAAATAGTACTCATAAAGTGCCAAGTGCGGTCACATGTAAGAAAAGTCCTAATGAAATAAAGTCCTATAAAGATCTCCAGTGAACAATCCAAAAGGTGCTCAATCCAGAAGCATACAGAGGAAAACACTCACCACACGGAGCCCAGAGGATAGTATATAATGTAGTATTTTATTTAAAATTGCTAAATTAAAAGCAAACACTGACAATTTGGGCTCTGTGTGGTGAGCATTTTCCTCTAGGCTTCCGGTCGTATCATCAGCGGTACTGAGGAGTGAGAGACGTAGGTTCCCTATCTTTTGGGCTATAGGCTAGTGATCAGTTGGCCTTCTGGTGAGTGCATGGTGGTGGAGGACCATGCACAGGAGAGGAGCACTTTTGCATTGAGCACCTTTTGGATTGTTCACTGGAGGTCTTTATAGGGCTTTATTTCATTAGAAGGGCTTTTGTTAAATTACTGCAATTGTACTCAATGGTTTCCAATGATAACCATTCATATATGTGTGACCTAAAGTTGTAGCAACTTCAAAGTAGTTCATGCATTAAATTGGTCCGACTTTCATGCAACTTGAGGGCCATAGACTTCAATGTGAACCCTCAAAGGTTGCATGAAAGTCATACCCAGGGGCGGACTGACAACTCATGGGGCCCCCGGACAATAGGGGATCATGGGGCCCCTGTGTCCTTGCCCAAACTCAAAAAAACCTATGAAAAAGGTACCAGGGACATCTCATGGGGCCCTCTACTGACCCCGGGCGCTCGGGCAGTGCCCAAGTTTCCAAATGGTCAGTCCGCCCCTGGTCATACCTGAATGTTTTACGTGCAACAGTGGGTCCGACTTTGCAGAGGGACAAGTCACATCCAAGTCAC